ATGATTTAAATAATTAAGCATTTATTATATCAGATAATATAATTAAATGAACAAAAAATCTACATAATCCTAATAAATCTGGTTATATATCGAACACAACTTTATAAAGGATTTCTAAAGTAAAAAAAAATAGATATTGAAAAAAGGTTAATATAGTTTAAATTGAAATTAACTGATAAAATCTAAACTTCTTTTATGTTCTGCGATCCCACTAAAAGAGGTTCTAAGAATACCACCAGTAATTAAACCGCTGCCTAATATAGTAACAGTAAGCACAGGGAATACTTTAATCTGATAAACAGCAATACCAATTAATACCCAGACAATAGCAATAGCAAAATTAGAATCAGGGAATGGATAATATTCTGCAATAAGTAATCCAAGAATTATTAAAATAACTAGAGCAATAACAGAAAGAAGAACAGTATCAAGAGCGGGGATAGCAATCCAAAAACTTAGAATTGTAGTGTATAAAGAGAAACCACCCCAAAGAGAAAATGGTACACGAATGAAAAGATTGTCAAAAAATCCTCTGTTATGATAATAAAAATCGATAGTAAAACATATATATGCTATAGCTACAAACATTAATAAATTTATAATTGCAGCAATGAGATAAAGTTTGAGCATCTTAAAGAAAATAAAAAATTAATTAAATTAATTAAAAGCATAAAAAAAGTACGAGATGTAAAAAAAAGGAGTACGTTACATATAGAATACACCAACCGATAGCCAGAACTGCAGCAATAATAAAGTAATAAGAAACACCGTCAATAACAAGGTCGTACTCATCGACCGTTATAAACCATTGGTAAATAACAAAAATAGTAAGCAAAAAATAAATCGGAAATAGGATTCCAAAAGTATAATTTGCAGGAGTAATATAAGTGTATAAACTGGATGAATTTTGAGCGTTGGTGGCATTATTATTATCACTGCTGCCTGGGAATGATTTTGTTGAAATTAGTGTAAAGGCTGCTATGCATATTAATAAGATAAATACAAGAAGGTTTAAGGATTTTAGAAGAATCGGATGCGGTTTCATTTCTTTTTTTTCCTTACAGAAATTTTAAACCCGTGAAAAATTGGACTTTATTCATTGAAAAGCATGATAGGTTAATGCGCCTCATTTTTTTTTGTTGATATGTTTTTCTGAATTGCAATTGATATTAACAAATATTTACCCAATATAATCACATGACCAATAGAACCTTTTGTTGTAGTAATAATTAATCATGAGTTTCTAAGACTCAACATTATCGTTAACTGCAATCATCACTTTTAATATGTCACTCGTTTATAAGAAGACATTCATGTAATCATGTAATTGGATATACTCATGTAGATCAGTGTATTGACCAATAAAATTACGAAATCTATTAAAGAAGGATTTATTAAGCTGTATAGCGATATTTGCACTTTATTTAAGTAATCTTTCATCAAGACGCGTTGTTACCCTTTAACCTATTTTACAAAGTTAGACAACAATGTGTAAAGTATTAAGTATATAAAGTCACTATGTCAACATAATAACATAATGCATTAAACAATTACATAAAACGCCTTTTTTAGGTGATTCCTAATTTTCGTACTTATTTATAGCAATAACTAAACATAATAATAGTAATATGTCTTTTAAGCGGTCGAAAGTTTACCTAGTAAATGCAGTAAATATAGTAAATATAGTAAATGTTAGCTTTCGTTTAGAGGTGGAGGTGGCTTTTGTGGCGATTTTTATTAGTGGAAATTTACGATCCAAAAAACAATACTTTCTTAGTTTGAAATTGAGTTATCACAACTTTGATATTGAAGAATGTTATTGAGTGGCTTTCATAAATATTATTAAGCCTCAATTTATACATAAACTAAGCCATTCAAGAAGCCACTGTATTACAGTGAAGCTGCATTGTCACACGTGTCATGTGCTCGAATTCCACCTAATTTTATATTGAATTTTCAGCGTAAAATAACATTATACGTTGAAATTTTTGCAAACTATTAAGACTAAATATATAATATCTTGTGAAACTTTTAATCTGATTATAGTGATGGTATAAAGAGAATCTTAGATTACAATATTAACCGAAATCAACAGGGTAAAAAATTGGTTAAGCATGGGTAAGGTTAGGAATGAGTTTAAACAAAAATGGACAAATGTTAAAATAGGACTCGAACGAAAAGGAATTAATGTTAGACATGCAAAATTTCTTTAAAATGAGAGTTTTTTTGAATCTTTTTTTACGCTGTTGTTCAACATAAACTGTAAAAAGATTTTTTAATACTACTAGGTACTTCGGCCCGTTGTTAAACAATGGGTGAGGTGATACAAATAAATCACTTGATGGAATTTTTATAACACGAGTAGTAGAAGTAATAGAGAAATGAAAGAAAAATAGCTTTTGCAAAAGTTTATATGCGTATATGTGACATAGAATAAAACTCAATGTTATATGAATATCATATGAATACGATTGATGCGTTATTTGCCACAATGACATAATTTTGGATGAGTTTTTCCGTGAACTTAAAGCTCGAGTAAATGAGTATATAATAATAAACTCGCATATAAATTTGCATGAGGAAAAATTTTATTAAAGCACGAAAAATAGTTATACAAAAATTTCGAGATACACGAAAACGAACGAACGTTTATTTTGATCGTTTATTTTGATATTGAATTTTTTATTGGCTTTTGATCCTGTACCTAGTATTGTCTCAAAATTTCGTTATATCATTAGCACCAACCATTCGAACTAACCATTCTATGTATTATGATTGGAAAAGTCACGTGAATACGACTTCGATAACTTACCAGGCTGAAACTTTTTGTCGGATTGATAACAAACTAATAGTTAAGAAACAATCTTATTATAAGTCTGAAACAATAATTAGTATAGTGAAATTATGAGGTAGCTACATTGGAGCTTCGACTTACAAAAGATGACTTTTGTTTAATACGAACATAATAGCACAACTTTTGTATCTCGATGAAAAGATAGATCTTTATTCTATTCATTTATTTGTGGGGCTTTGTTAAATATTTACAATATGTGTGGCGGTGTTTTAGTCATACCAAGATTTTCAACCAATTTTATTATTGCATTAATGCAAGTAACTGACTTTTTGATCATGTGATTGAGAAGCAATTGGAGTTTCGAATAAACAATAGTTGATTGATTATCTTTGTAAATATTACTATGCCCCACACAAAGATCAAAACCTCCGATTTTTCTTCAATTAAATTTTACGAGAAAAAAAACGATGTCAATTCTTACAAAATCCGCAAATGTTGTCGGATTTTTATTATTAGTAGCTATAACTGTCATTCTAGTGCTTCAAAATTTAAGTTATTTTCAAAACAGTAATAATCAAAATACAGAAAACAAAAATGAGACTAAAGTTACTGAAACTTATCTTTCACCCGCAGCATATACATTCGGGATTTGGTTTTTGATTCTCCCGTTACTTCTTGGTTTCATTATTTACCAATGGTTCGAAGGTGAAGATGGTGCTGTAGATAGAGGTGTTTCATATTATTTCTTTTGTCAGGCTATTTTGTGTGTTGTCTGGCTGGTTTTATGGGTAAATATATTATTATTCTGTATCAAAAAAAATTATAAAAAAAATTTATTATTCTGTATTAAAATTAAAAACTTCTAAAAAATATATATATATATTCCAATGATTTGATTTTTTTATTTTATTGTTTTTATTAGGAATTTGCCCTTTATCTTGTAGTTGCAATTGTACAATTGATCATCCTCATATTGTTTTTCATAATATATTTCAACCTCATAACCCATTACGAACCTAAAGGAATTGATACCATCTGCCTCGTTTATCCATTTTCAATATTAACTCCTTGGAATTTATATGCTTTATTCCTTGAATTTTGGATTGCCATTCCAGCTCTTAATACTGTTATTTTAACCGTTATAGTTTTAGTTTTGCTATCAATTTTTGGTTTATTCTTTGTTGATTATTGTTGGAGACATGATAATATTTTTGCTTTTACTATTATCTGGATATTAGTTGGTATTGCTGTTAATAATGTTGAAACTATGCCTGTGTATGCAACTGCTTTGGCTGGAATTGGATTAATTAGCGGTGGCATTTTTAGAAATTGGTTTAAATTTTCAATTGATTGGCATGGTAGTATTATGTTCGTTGAAAGTGGTGGTGGTGGTTCGGCATATAATGAGCCATCTTACGCTTACAGAAATTATAGACCTGAACAACCTTATGGTTCAAGTGGCCCTCATATGCCAGGACTGTTTGGTAATCAGTAAACGTATGTACATACGCACATAAATTTATGTACCCTTTTCGGTTAAATCAATGCTTTTTATAACTGAAATAATTTGATTTATATACGTACTTTATTCCTGTATACTGTACTGTATTTATTTATGTAAGATGTTCTCTTATTTAATTTATTTAATGATAATATATATATTAGCACTTCAAAAATTAAGAATTTACTGTTCTTAAAGTTTTAATTATTATCTTGATACTGTGTTATGATCGGAAGAGATCCTGAATTAATTTAGCTCTGATTGTGAATAAAGGGTTTTGTGCTTTAAAGATTTGGAAAGTTAGGGTAATATTAAACTTGAATCATGGGAAATATAATTTTATAGACTTTCTTGCGGACGTATGTACATATGAAAAATATATAGTTAGAGCTAAAATAAATAAATAAATAAATAAATAAAGCGATTTTATAAATATTAGATATAACAAAGTATACTGTATCGAGATTAGACTGCATTATTTAATTTATTTATATTTATGCGTGTTTTTGCAAAAGAGACCAATTTTTTTGACTACAGTAAATTATCACGCTTTTCAAATTATTGTGTCCACTGATTTTCATATATCACACCGGACACCAGAAATTTAGAATAAATGCTGATTTGTGATTGGTTAAAAATAATTTTTAGTCAATCACGTATTGGCATTTTTTCTAGATTTCTGATTCGCAGTGTGATGTATGAAAATTTGTGGAAACAGAAATTTGAAAGCGCGATAATATAGGCTTGACTACTTTAAACGAGATAAATTCATTGCACAATTGATAAAAGATCATTATTAAATTTATTGTAAATTTAAATTTATTGTTAAATTTCATTTAATTAAAAAATAATAATAATGCAGTTAAGTAACACTTTTTTAAATAAAATCAAATAAAGCTACTCAAATTGCCAAATTTAATATAAAAATGATTGCTTAAAAATACTATTAATAACTATTTTAACAAAAATTCAAAAATTTAACTGCTAGAAAAACTCTTTCTGCTTATTACTTGTACACAAAATTTCGTCCAAAAATAGTTTTAAATCTTCTCAATTTACACAAAATTTATTATGTTAATAACCTTTTGACACTTAATAACAATTGTTCACCTACCATTTTTACATATATTTGTAAAGTTTCAAGCCTTTATCTCTCATCATTCTTGAGATATTTAATTTAAAAGGACAGACAGACAAAACTCTGTCCTCTCTTCAAAGTTTTGCTCTTCTTGGCAAACTGGGATTAATAACATACTGATACCTCATAATTGAATTTGCAAAGCTAATCTCTGGTTTCAAAACAAGCTATAGTACATCAAATTTGACCTAAAATTGATTATTCTAGGATTCAAAACATCAAAACTCTTTTTTTTACTCTCTAAATTATTAAAAAGTTCCTTCCTAGTTTACTCCTATCCAAATCATCTTTTGTGTATCATTCGGATCTATATTTCTGATTTGTTTACACCTGACTACATTAGCAACATAATCAATCCTTTTTGGGTAATCCATTTTACAATCAATTTACACAAATTAATTACTGCATTTGTTTTTTATTCTACAATCAACTTAGCAATGTTACCTAAATTTTGCTTAATTGTACAACTTGTGTAATATGTAATCTGTGTAATACATAACTTATGTAATATATAATTTGTATGACCTTAGACTTCCTAAGTTATACAAGGTTACACAAGTTGCAGTAGCCACAATAATACTCCTGTAAATATCAATACCCTTGTAACAAATTTTTAATACATTATAGATTATATCTTTAAATTTTTCTAAGAAATATAATGCAAAAAAATATATCATTTCAAAGCTTATTCTATTCTCTTTTTAAATTTAGTAATCATTTCCTTATAATATTCCTTGTTTAAAAATTATTTAGACACTTTTACTACTTACCTTAGTCTTTATATTTAGAATCAATTAGATATGCCAACTCTTATTAGCAAAGATCCAGATCACTTCGATATTGATTATTTTCATAACAAATATAGTAACAGACATGGTACTATGATCTATGAAGCCTCATCTACACAACTCAAAGTTATGCCTTTTGCCTTCAACCCAACAGAATGCAACACTTTTAAAACACTGTACTATTTTCCTATCCCATTTCAAACAGCAATTATCCATTGCTATTGTCATAAATATTATACTTTTTTTACTTCTAGCTACTTGAATATTTCTCCTAGACAAGCAACACCCCCCTTTTTCTTCAGATACTATAGATATAGATCTTACACCTTCACAAGTCAAAAAACGTAAAGATAATATTTCTTAATTTCCAGTTCTATCATTATCAATTCCACCCTTTCTTCTCAGCTACTTACAACTTCTGACTACCTCTACAACCTCTCAAGTAGATACATCTCAAATTCAAGCTTACTCACACCACACTCATACTTGTATTATCTGTAAAAAGAAAAACATTTCTTGTGTCTTTCTTAACAACAATAAACACACTTTACTTGATAAGCTTATACTCAATATTCAAGGTTACTCAGCACATCCTAGCTGTATTCATAAGCTTAAACTTAAACTACAACCACAAACAATACTTCTAAACCAAAAATCAAGAGCAATACTCTACATTATTCTTTTTAAAAAAATGAACAAAAAAGAAAAAAAGAAATCTTTCTTAAATTTGGAAAATTTATTTCTAAATCATCTACAAGCACAAGCAACAAACAACTAAACAGCAACAAGAACAACAACCCAAAACTAAAACCAACCCAGCAATATATGATTTGCTAGCCAATTTTTCTGTTACTAAGAAAATAAAAAACAGAACCAATTGCAAACTGATCTTGTCAGAAAAATCTTCAATCACCTTAAATCACATTTATACAACTTTTATCTAGGAATAAAAATCAAAGCAGCTACATCTAATTAAAAACCTTTCAAGGCTAGCTTTTACTAAATTATTCATAAAATTGCTGGTACAAGGCATCAATTCCTTATTAATTTTATTTAACAAAATAATCTCAATACTGACAAGGCTATTACTATCCTATTTGATATTCTTGAATCAACCTTCAAACAACTTACTCATATATTTATAATTGTCTTTTTTATCATACTTAACTATTCTAAAATCTTTGTTTAATCTGCTACTATTCCACCATACCAAAATCAAAATCAGCTTCAATTTTGTATTAACCTTGTTTAGCTTCATCTATATCTTTCAAACAACTATTAAACAATTAACTATAACAAATTTGGAGAGGATATTGAACTTAAACCCAAGAAATTTAAAATCTCATCCACTATTTCAGACTATGATAAAGAGGAAAAATATCTTTCTATTAAATCTGACAGTAAGTTTAATATCTACCTGATCTTTAATATCCCAAAAACCCTCTTTCTACAAAATTTTAATATTTTCTCTTTTAAAAATTCTCTTGATTATTTTGAAAAATGGTTTAAACACTTTTCCCATCCTATAACCATCAATTTGCTAACTCTCTTGACAAAACTAAGGTTTATAACTCTCTCAAATATCAATTCTGCTAACAGTTCATCTCTTAACTCAGAGAACTTATTCCTCCTACTCTAGAATTCAATAAACTTAACAATTCATTAGAACTTCGTAAAGAAGCTACAAAACTCACCAACTATTATATAATGACCTGTTTAGACATTACTTGACCTCACATAAAAAAAATTAAAATCAGAAATAAAAGAAAAGAAACAGAAACCAAACAACACAACAATTTATATTCAGACATAATTATATTAAATTGCTTAAAGCTACTCTTAAGCAATCATATGGATGCCTTATATTAAAAAAGACCATTTTGACATATAGTTTATTTTGAGATAATTGAGTTTAAATGTTTGTTTTAATTTTCGGACTGATCCAGGATTAATTAAATTTCACGATTTTGATTGGTTAAAAGTAGCAGGTGACTATTGGGTAATCTCATGATATGTCTGGCTTTTGGCAGCATTATCTCCATTTTTTATTATACAAATCGATCTTTATTTATACTTGAAAGATGTTAATCATATCAAAATTTACATGAATCTAATAAAAACTTAATTTTCAAAAAAGTACAAAATAGGCCTTTTTAATATGAAACACCCCATATATTAGCTATCCAAAACAACAACATGAATCTTGGCCACATCCTGATATTAATCTATTACTATTCATTATTGATAAAAAATATACAGCAACCTTTAGTAAAGAGATCTCAACTAAACTATTAGATGAACTCCCTACTCAAACAAAAGATTATATCTGCAAAATCCACTTCATACCAACTGTTACCAAATATCACAACTACTACTTCTATGAATTTCTAACTGTATACCAACAAGCAGCTGCACAAAATCACCTTATTGACAATATCAATAAGCAAAAAGCAATAGAAAATCTTACTAATAAACCTATTAGTACAGATTTCCTTGCTAGAGTCATTACATATTTCGATACCAAAATATGAATTACTTAATTATCCACAACTTGTTAAATTTTATAGAGAAACTGCTTACTCAGAAGCAAAGAAAATTATTCAAACAAAATTCAAAATATCTTACACTACATCAACTTCTATAGAGGAATCTCTTTTATTTGAAGAGATATCTTTTCAATAACTTTGTCTTCTACAAAACACATAGATGCAGCCACCACCTTATCAAAAGAAACAACTAATATATTTAATAAGGAAGATAATGTAAGTGAGCAGACAGTAAAGGCCATTTATGTAGAGGACTATTTATATGAAAGTCAGACCCAATGTACAAAGCAGACTATAGAATTATGCATAGCTGTGAGAGCCAAGCTTGAAATGGCAAATGAGCTTGTAGAAGGCAACCCTAATACTGGCAAATCATTTTCGACATCTTTAGACTCCAACCCAATATACTAACTATACAAATTCAAATACTGTTCATACTAATGAACCATATATAATTACATACAATCTTAATACATATTATAACCAAATCTTATTATCCCTCAATCTTCCTCCACTTCCATATCCTCAAACTATTAATTCTTTTAATAAATACCTTGAATCCTTCGACTACAATATTAACAATATATACAACCTTATATTTTATCTAACAATTAAAGAAGACTACAATATAGCATATGTTTATTCTCAGTCTGAATACAGATTTGTATAATGTGGTTATTTTACAACACCAGTTGAAAGTTACAAATACTTTTCCTTCGTTCCCCTCTATACCATTTTAGAAATCAACTCCCTTAAATCAGAAACTATTCCTAATTTGGTTAAAGATGACTGGACCTACAATCCATATTACTACTTTCAACAAGATGTTTATCTTAATCTTTATAATACTAAACATACCACTGATCCAGACCCAAGACCTCTTCTACATTCATCACATCTATGCTTTAACAGATTTTTAGATACTATAACCTGCCAATACTATCTAAACCACAAACTATTATTTTATTTCTTAATCATCTCAGCCTTTTTGGATATAATCTAGAAAACTCTCATTTCAATATTCTTACTATCTCTATTAAAAAAGACTACTCTGAAGCATATATATATCTACTTTTTGAATCCAAACCACTACCAGATCACTTTGTTTCACCTAGAGAAACTCTAAAGTACTATCGCAATATCACTCTTAAATCTAATAGCTACATTATACCTAATACATTATTAGATCTCTTTTTATTAACTCTATCACCTATACCTGAACCTCTATAGCAGTATAAACTGCTATCTCTTCTAATACAAATTATCAAAAAACTTAACACACACTATCTAAAAGTTTACCAGACCTTACATTCAAATTAAATATTGAATACATAATATACAAGGATACAATCTACAGAAAAAAAGACTATTATAGAAGATTATTGCTTAATTAACAATTTACATATTATTAATATACCAACAAAATTCTTTAATACTCAACAATAAAGATATTACTAATCTAACTT